AAGCCCTGGGACTGTATGATGAGTTATGATTCAAGAAAGGGGGACACAATGGATCTGTAAGGTCGAAGTGATTAACCCCCCTCCCACTCATTCTAAATTCTAAAAAAAAAATCTACACTACTGGTTCAAATCTACCCTTGATGCAAGTAGTTTAGCACCAAGACCGTTGGTCGGTAAATGTTTACGCAGGAAATCTAGAATGGCGAATAATGGGCTCTTTCACAAAAAATAAAATACCCATTCAAGGACAAAATCTGAAATAGAAAACTATTTTCAGTATATTTATCCAAAAAAAATAGTTCCACGACATTGAATGATTTTTTTATAGGTCCTCAAAATTGCTTTAATTTGAAATAATTTTAAAGCGCCAATTGATGACGTATGAAAAATACGCCCAATCAAATTGCAGAACCGTGCTCGTGCGCCAGCTAACAACTGGCAACATTGCGATTTGATTTGACCAGCACCACCTCAACTCAAGGCCAATCAACATGATATGGGCAAGGCGAATATGGCGGCGAAGGCAGCGCATTATTAAATTGTTTACCTTTAACCTGAAAAGCCGGTAGTGGTTTCTCGTTCCGATTGCATATCATAAATAATTAATTATCTCTAGTTTGTTGTGCTTCTGCAACACGTTTCTTTAGTTCTTAGTGTTCGGTGCATGGTGTGATCAGAAAATTGTGATAAAATAACAGTGTAATAAAAATCCAAACCAGACATTCCACATAGGGAACTTCAAACTTTTGTGCTTGTCGTACTCCTCTATTATTAATTATTTTAAGGTAAGAACTAGAAGTATTTATCAAGATATTACACCTAAATGAGTAAAAAGCCTTCACCGCCAGTCTGCATAGTACTTTATAATGGTTACTTACAATAATCAAAAGATAGGTATTAACATTTTATTGTAGCATACCTTTTACATGCTCTGTTCCAAATTGTCACGAGAATTATAGAGGGGGTCCCAAGGTTTCTGCTTTTATATTCCCCAAAAATGACGAATTTCGTAAAAAATGGTTGACAGCTATTAAAAAAGATAATTTCACTCCTACTAGTAGTTCTCGGGTAAGAAGTGCAATAAATATGCCTCAAAAAGGCCAAAGGCCCCAAAGCCTCTGTTACCTTAGTAAGGATGTAGTTATGGCTACTACTTACACTTACCTCACTATAAGTAAAATATTGGAAGAATAATCAAGCTTTTTACATCAAAAAGATCACAGAAAGATATTGATAACATTCATATTTGAAAATATAAATGGCCTGCCTGGATGTAAGTCTTTTTTTAAGTCACAATTGCCCCTCACATACGTCAGAATTTATTATAAAATCCATCTTGTTCAGAATATCCAATATTTTTTTGAAGAACTATGCAAAAAAAAGGAATGACGTTATAAAAAGGTATTTAGTTCTTTTTCTATATAAAATCTTGAAACACATATTATATTTTTTAGTTATCCTTACCTATTATAGTTTAAATTTATTCCCATTTGTGTAATGCTGCTAAACATAAAAAAAATATTCCATATTTTTTAACCCAAGCCAGTGTAGTTTATAATTTCAAGAGCATTTACCAAGGCTTTTACTAAGACAAGTAACTTCCTATACTGTCCATAATAGCATAGTATAAGGAAACTAGTAGTTTTACTCCTTGTCAAATCCTTTGTTCTTTTTCTGCCACTTTATATGACCTTGTTCTCGCCTCCGTAGCCGAAGACGTAGCTGTATTGTCGTGGTCTATTAACTAGGCAAAGTATAGACGTGGTACTCGCCATAGTTTCACAGATATGTATTTAGGAAAATATGAGTTCAAAATAAAATAAAATAAAATAAATGATCATCGAGTAAAAACTTGCTTGAAAACAGAATATTTTCACATTTCGTTTAGGTAACAATTCTTCTGTATCTGAAAATCTTCTGATGGGAAGAAATGCGGAAAAAATATATAATGACATATTTTTATATTATTATCTATTTCAGAGATTTTCTACGACTTTCTTTTGATTTAAAGCAAGTTTAATTTTCTGTAGATAACTGGATTCGGCATAAAATTATGCTATAGTACACTGTCTTTATTTAAAGCACACTGCGGTGTTGCCAATCTATTTCTTATTTACTAAAACTTTGGTTAAAAACATTATATACGAAAAGTGGTAAAAAACTAGAGTGAATATAACTTTATTAATACTTTGCTATGTTTTCTTAAACATGAAGGAAAAATTTACTTTATCGTATACAGGATATTTTTTATGGCGTCGCCAAAATCGTAATATTTAAAAAATGTTGTATCTCATTTTTTTTAAATGCAACACCTTGTATATTATTTTTCTTTCAGATGTAGAATTAAAAGGTGAACATTTTTTGACAAGACAAGACAGACAAAGATCATATTAGGTGGCTTTGAAAAAAATTTACTGTTGAAAGAGCCATATGTAATATAATACTGCGAATATCTGCGACAGCGGTAAAAATTTAGAAACACTCTAAATTAATAAAAAAGTGTTTACTTTTTAATTCTGCATCTGACAGAAAAATAATATACAGAATGTCGCATTTAAAAAAGTTGAGATATACCATTTTAAATATTGCGATTTTGGTGACGCCATAAAAAATACCCAATATAGAATAATGTATATAGAATGATGTAAAATAATAAAAAAATCAAACTAACTTTACCATAACTTTTTTTGTGACACCCTGTATATAATAAAATATTTTAGGATACACCCCTTTATAAACCTTGAAACATATGAATAAAACTTTTTTCACATCTTCGACAACGACGAAGATATTGGACTTCCTCACACTAATGGGCCACCCTGTATATTTACGGTGGTTTAAAGCTAGGTGTGGCACTTTTTTCCCTCAAATATAACCTTTAAGTATAGTAAACGCCACGAATGTTTGGGAGTGATTCATCGCTTGATGAAGTTAGAATCGACACGCGCGCTATCATTTTTACATTAAAAACGTAATTTTCACCGCAGACGTAGTTTTTAAAGGCCTGATCTAATCATCTGCCTGCGCTCCTCCTACTTATTCTAAAATGTTAGTATGATTGACAAAGACGATACCATATCGCGTTTCTTTGATTGATTCGTTTTTGTGCGTCAGTCCATTGGTGTGCTTGCAGTGCGACCAATGGGGCATTCCAGTTTATATTTATAACCAAAAATATATGTTTTGACAAGACTTTGACAGTTAAAACAACAAATTACAACAGATTATATATTGATTATTATATGACTTGAAACACCACGGCACTGGAATTAAGTTTTATGTGACCTTGAACAGATTAGTTCACATGGTAGCGACCGATGAATCACTCCCAAACATTCGTGGCGTTTACTATAAACAGTATAGTCGCATCCATGAATACTGGTCGTCCTGAAATTGTTGCTAGTGATTCTTTTTTCTTTTTAAGTTCTTTTACTATACACTGCGATAGGATTTCTATGTTCTTTATGTTTGATCATCCATATGAAGGGCTCATTTTCGTATAAATCCATAAATTTCAAAACAGCATCATTTGAAGACTACACGGGAAAAAACAGCTTTGTCCGTTTTAATTGGAGCCGAGAAAATTGCAATTTAGTGCTTTTAAATAAATATGTTATTTTCGGTTGAGTAGTTAGAAAAATATATATTACTACCAATTCTGAATTATTAATATTGTTAATTATCGCCATATTCTGAAATACCGAAATAAAATTGTTAAAATGCAAAACAAAACAGGGGAAGCTGTCGTACAGGGGAAAAACCAGGGATGTCCAATTAAAGGTTGTATAAAACCTAAATCTAAACTATTATTTTTTTGTTGTAGGAAGAAAAGTAGGTTTAGGTAGTTTAATATTTAACTAGGTTTTTATTAGAATACATAAATTTACTACCTGTAATACTAATTGCAAGATGCATATGCTTGTCGCCCATGCGCAAGGACATCGCTGGTTTTTGCCATTTACGCGTGGACTACTCTGGTTTTTGCCATTTACGCGTGGACTACTCTGGTTTTTCCTTTGTACGACAAAATTATCAAACTGTAATATCTCTGGGACTATGAGTATTATTGCTTTCTTTTGTCTCGAATGACGTTAAGATTTGTCTATAAAGTTGTATCGTTATCTTAATTTCTATGAAAATGTGACATATCTATTTTTTCCCGTGTAGTCTTTATTTGTCCACTCCATTTATTGCTGTGGGAACCATTTAGGTATTTCGTCAATATTGAAGTTATTAATGTAAATTTGATATTATATAATCTATTATTGTTTTGAGGTTTTAAATTATCCGCAATTAACTCGAAAAACACGGAAATAAACCGGACATACGCTATAACAGTACAATTATTGTACTGTTATAGCGTATGTATATATTTGCGCAGTCGTTTTTTTGCGCCTCGGCAAGTATAGCCAAGGCTGGCCAAGTACACTATAAATGTACAATTAATTATGATCGTTTGACTCGGGCTCTGTTTACCGACAGAGAGTGGGAACGCGACGAGTGACCAAGGAAACCTTTCTCACGACATGGCGAGTATATTTCAATAACAAATGTTAGTTAAGTACACGAGTCGTGAGAATGCGCCTTTACACAAATATAGGCTTGATGCATCCTCCGCCGGTGCTGCTACTATCGGAGAATACCGTAAACAGCCGACTTAAACAAATATGCGTGTTTAAATAGCGAGTACACGAAAAATTTATTATATAATTATTCTAAAAGTGTTAAACAGCCTATATACTATCCCGGATTTTACGCAATATTTCTGGAAATATTTCGTTAAACATTTCGCAAAACATTTCTAGAAATACTTTCAGAAGTAAACTCAAATGTAAGCTTGTGTTGTTTCCTGAAATAGATCGAGACGCGCCGTTACAAAAAAATGCTATCAGTAAAGTATTTGTACTTATTTAAAAACATTGTAATTTTGTATAATCAGTGAAAAGTATAATATTTATAGTATATAATCAGTTAAAAGTATATTTCTAATAATTTGATAGCTCGTGACTATAATCCAAATTGGATGACCGCTATCGAGTTTTTGGACGATGACATTTTCCTGGGAGCAGAGAATTGTTACAATATGTTTGTATGTCAAAAAGATAGTGCTGCCACCACAGATGAAGAAAGGTCTCAGATGAATCAGGTTGGCCATTTCCACGTTGGCGATATGATAAATGTGTTTAGGCATGGATCTCTCGTAATGCAAAATGTCGGAGAAATTTCAACACCTACAAGAGGTTGTGTGTTGTTTGGAACTGTTGGGGGAGCCATAGGTTAGCTTTCTATTAAAAATTTTATAATGCACATTTAACATTATTCATTCAAATTTTAGGTTTAGTAACACAGATTGGTGCAAATTTTTATGAGTCTTTAAGAGATTTGCAAAACAAACTTGCATTTACCATTAAATCTGTGGGTAGAATAGAACATTCTTTTTGGAGAGCTTTTCATACTGATATTAAGACTGAAAATAGTGAAGGGTTTATTGATGGTGATTTAATTGAAAGCTTTTTGGATCTTTCACCAGAAAAAATGAAGGAAGTTGCAGATAGTTTGGGAGTAAGGAATCATTTTATTATTCTTCAGATTACTTTTTATTTTTAATTTCTTTAAATTTATTTTTTATAGGTTACTGTTGAAGATTTGATTAAGACCGTAGAAGATTTAACGAGAATTCATTAGTTTGAAAAATTTGCTTTACAGTTGTAGTTTACTATTGTTCAGTGAGTTATTAACTATTTTGGATAATTGTAATGTTATGTATAATATTTAAGTTTTTTCTTGTAAATATTTCCAGTATTAAAAGTTGTATTTCTTAGTAAGTGTGCCCTTTCTAAAACCATGTAAGTAAAACAAAAGAAATATAAAACTTCAATTATGTATTAGCTATTCCACTTGGTAATTTGTACATTTCATATGCAAATTCTTCTGTGTGGCTAGGATCATATTCCAAACCAATATAATCTATTTCCAATGAAAATTCACCAGCATATCTTTCCACTGCTGTAATTCCAAAAGATGAAACTTTGTCTAAAGGTATCCAACCTTGATTATCTTGAATTCTTCCTTTAGAACTTAGAAAAAATTTCGAAAATGGTATCTAAAAGAGTTTTGTAAAATACATGTTGCTCAGTTTGTTTAAACTTACTTTAACAATTTGCCAATAAGGACCTCCCCTGGTAAATAATGGATAGTTAAACATATCATTCCATGTTACATCGAAATAACCTTTAGTATGAACATTTAATAAATAAGTTCTGCCATCGCCTCTAACTTTCATTACTAACATATTGTAGTTGGACCAATCTAAATAGGTTTCTCTTTTAAATGATTTCTGAAAAAGATATGTGTATTAGGTGGAATTTTACTGATACTAAATATAATTAAAAAATGGATTTATCCACTTACTCTGGGTTTTACAGTTTTAATGTTACAGTAACCAGCTCTCTTAACTCTTCCATCTTTTGGCACTCTTAATACAAGCTCTCCAGAAAACAGAGCTTTTCCATGATTTGTTAATTCAAGACTAGAGGAACTAAAACCTTCATTATGATCTTTGTCTGAGGTTACAATCCATTTGTTCAAAGAATCTTCATTTTGAAATTTGTAGACTACATCAACTTCTCCTCGACGATATAGTAATATGGGATCATCTAAAAAAATGTACATGTTGTAAATAGTCTAAAATATCTGAGAATATATTTTTGCAATACTACCTACATACTGAAATTTGCAAATTAAAATGATAAATCGGGCAGCAGAATGGGCCATAATTTTATCTGTATTATTACCTTGTTGCTTGCTAAATGTCTATATAATATAGTGTATTATAGATAAGACAAAGAAACTATTTTTTATGAAAACCTTATGCTATTGAGACTAAGAATCACTTTAAAGAAACTTTATAGAGAATGTTCTAATTTGTGCTAATATATTATCTTATAAGGGAATGTTCCTGCCCAATGATCCTGAACGTTCCATCTTTACGATTGAGGACGTTCTCTCTATTTAGATAACACCAATTTTAAAAAATAATACAATAAGAACGAAATTAAAGGGTGATACTAAATACGGTATAGTACTAATAAATCTATTAACCTTTGAACTTCTCTTTGAGTTCCTCTGACCATAAGGCTACTTCTTTTTTCAGTTCGGCTAAGCCCATCCTCATTCTCTCCTTAAACGGTGGAAGCGGCCGATTACTTTCATAGCCCCCTTTTTCACTACGTTCAAAAAAAGTACAAACTTTCGTTGTGGTACTGATACATCTTTTATTAGAATTAAATAATAAACTTGAAGTGGAAAGAAAATTTCGTATAAAACGTGTCATATCAAATCATTTAACAAATGCACAAGTCGTAAAGCAAAATTCCAAATGATATAAAAAGTTATTTAAGTCATTGTTATTTAATAATTGATTTAAATAAATCAGCTGTATATGACAGTGACAGTTGCATTGCATAAACGTAATTTGGTAGTGTCTAGTGTTTAAAGTTATGTTATGGTCTAAAAATCCGAATATAAATAAACACAATGAACTTTAAAATTTTTGTAAGAATAGAAGTGTTTGCGCTTTAAATTTAGCCAGGAAAGAAATTGGGTTTAAATTTAACAGACTACTACGCAAATCTGAAGGTTACAAAATAATTTCACTAATTCAAACTAATTTTAGTTTAGCCTCCGTAGTGCAGATGTGTACTATATTCACATTTTTCATAGAATAAAAATATAGGTTAGATATGCGACATGTAAATAATTTAAATCATTGCGAAATCTTTGTATTTTTATATTGAAAAATTAATATGTGGTCATTTTTTTCGCGAGATCCTTCCAAAGATTTTAATTTTGAAATAGGAGAAGTGATAGTAGAGTATGAAAACAAAAGTGTATGGACGCTTCATAAGGGCAAGAAAAAGGTAATGCCCTACTTGTTACTGTTATTTCTTTTTATTCCACATTTTAATTACAATTATTTTAGGGTGTCAATGAAGAAGTCTCTATTTTTGTCTATGACATTAAAAGTGGTTCAGATGCCCAACTTGACATAGCCAAAGCAGCAGTAAAACGATTGAAAACTCTTCGACACCCAAGTATTCTCACATATCTTGATAGTTTAGAAACGGAAAAAGTATTGTATTTAGTAACAGAACATATAGACCCACTTACAGTTCATTTAGAGAAGCTTCCTCTTGAAGAGCCTCAAAAAGAATTATATGTTGCTTGGGGGATTTTTCAAATAACTGCAAGGGCTCATGTCACATAAATTATTCAGATATCTAATATTAACTTTTCAGAGAGCTTTATCATTTTTAAATAACGATGGAAGCTTAAGACATATGAATGTTAATATATGGTCAGTATTTGTTAATACATCAGGGGAATGGAAGCTAGGAGGTGTAGAATATGTTTTAAGTGCACAGGAGAACAATACATTTATAAATAAAGTTACTTCTTGCTTGGAAGTATATGATCCTCCTGAAAAAAATGATCCTAGTAAACAACGTTCTATAACTAAATGGTAAAATTTTTAAATTCAGGCTTGTATTAGATTATTTTAATCGAGTTCTAAATGAAAATAGAAATATTGTTTACTTCTAGCTCTTCTGATATGTGGGGATTGGGATGTTTAATTTGGGAGGTGTTTAATGGACCTCTATACCAACAAAGTTCTTTAAGAAACTCGGAGAAGGTATATAGTTATAAAAACTGAAATTAATAAATCTATTTAATAGTTATAGCAAATTTAATAATTGTGTTTTAATCTAATTTAAGTTACCGAAACAACTAACAAATTTGTATGCGGAACTGGTTGGTTCTAATCCACAAAGTAGACCGAATCCAGCAGATATAATCACAAGATGTAGAAAGTTAGGAGGGTATTTCAAAAATGATCTTGTGGATTCATTGCTATTCCTAGAAGAAACTCAAATAAAGGATAAAAATGAGAAAAATAGATTTTTTTCAAATTTAACGCCACATTTGGACAATTTTCCAGATAATATTTGTAAACATAAAATATTGCCACAGTTAATTACAGCTTTTGAATATGGAGATGCAGGTTCAGCAGTATTAGCTCCGATGTTTAAAGTAAAAAAAAACTCTATACACTGTATTTGTTCTACCTACTCTAATATTTTTAGTTGGGAAGGCTTCTAGATGAAGCTGAATATCAAAAGAAAATTGTGCCCTGTGTTGTAAAGTTGTTTGGTAGTAATGATAGAGCAACTAGGTCCCGATTACTTCAACAGTTGGAACACTTTATCAGCCATTTGCAAGCTAGTACAGTCAATGATCAGATATTTCCACAAATTGCTCATGGTTTTATGGACACCAATCCAACAATTCGAGAACAGACTGTTAAAGTAATATATAAAAATATTAAATCTGTTATAGTTAGTGGTATTTTTTTTTTAGTCTGTGATACATCTAGCTCCTAAGTTAAATTACAACAATTTAAATGTAGAAGTATTGAGGCACTTTGCGCGCCTGCAAGCTAAAGATGACCAAGGAGGCATTAGAACTAACACTACTGTATGTTTAGGGAAAATAGCTCATCATCTGCACCCTCAAATAAGGCAGAAAGTTTTAATATCTGCTTTTATAAGAGCCATGCGTGATCCATTTCCACCTGCCAGAAATGCTGGTATTTATCTAATACACTTTTAAAAGAATCCAATTATTTGAGAAGAAATTCTAGAATAGTATATTAAAAAATTGTATGTTACCAGTTTACTCTTTTTAAATTATTATTATCTGTGTTGCCATATTACCATGCAAGGTTAACTTACGTTTAACCCTTGATTTAATATATAAACAAGGGTTTAACTTAAATGATTGGAAACTTGACATTTTTTCATGCGAGACATATTGTTAAAATGTTTTATTTTTTTTGTGGATTTGTGCGAATAAAGCCAGCATCACTTATTTGCAAAATTATTTGATGAAGAAGTTTTTGTTTAATCAAGTTTTTTGCTTTTCAACTGAATACGTTTTTCAACATTATTTTTCAATTATGTTGATGCAAAAGTTGAGCAACAATTAAGAAGTGTTAACGATGCATGTCCTTATTGAAAATATTTTGAGAAAATTTTAGATACACCTAAACCTCTAAAGGCACTTAGGTTATTTTGGCTGCAGTTAGGTTATTTTGCTCGATTTTATCTGTACAGTTAAAAGCGCGCGGATAGAAAGCACGGGCAAGCGACCTCCCCACACTCTCATTTTGCCCGGTTTATTTTATCTGTGTCGTAGAAAAGAACAATGGATTCGAGAAAGAACTTGCTAGTATTGGCGCTACGAATTACTGTAAAAAAGGAAACCCAAAAATAGTATAGAGGAAAATGTTACACTATACACTGAAATTTTTAACTGTACAATCCTGCCCATCCGGTTAAAATCGGACAAAATAGCCAGTGTACTGGTGGCTTAAAATGTATAGGAGAATATAAGAGAAAAAATTCAACATCTTTTTTCGCGAAAAAAACCCTACCAGTTAAAATATTATTTATTCTTATTTAAGAAACACTCTGTACTTATTTAACGCATATTTTTAAAGGTGAATATTAACGTATTATTTCAGGTGTTTTGGCCTTGGCAGCTACCCAGCAATACTATTTATTAGCGGAAGTATCACAAAGAATATTACCTGCTTTGTGCCATCTTGCTTTGGACCCGGAAAAGTCAGTTAGAGATTCAGTGTTTAGAACGATTAAGGGATTTTTAGGAAAATTAGAAAAAGTCTCTGAGGATCCTAGTCTAAGGGAAAGCATGGGTAGTTACAGGATTTTTTTACCTTTGCCGGACGGCAGCCGTGTATAGACGACACAAAAAAAGAAGTGCCTTGGGGACGGTTGATGTGAATACACGACATCAACTTAAAGTATTATTGAAATCAATGTCTTTCAATCTAGACTTGTCTTAAAATTTAACTTGTACCTAGGCGGTTGTCGGAAGATATCCGTCATTCCCGTGCTTAGCATACACCTTGGTGCTATAATAGTTACGGTGCCATAACAGTTACCACCAGCCATAACAGTTGTCACATCAGTGACGGGTATAGCCGTCAGTTGTCTGTACCGTAAGAAAGACTTACTGGAGCGAATCATGTGCTATTCGAATTGATATAGACATTTTGCCTTATACGCTTTAACTCAATATCTTAAGTGAATTTTTAGTATATTTTTAAAATAAAATAGAAGAAAAGAAGTCTGTGCGCGGCCGTAGTGTCCTCAAAGCTCAGCTGTACGCCTCATGTAGATGAAGCGTACAGCGGAACGGAGAGGACCGCGAAGCGTTCAAATGCTTTAAAGTCAAATACGTTTAAAATAAAATAATTTTTTTTATTTAAACGTATTGGATTAAAGTAAACCGATGCGACCACACATAGCGTAGCGTATTGCGGATTGACGCGTACTTGTTCGCTGGTAGCGTATTTTCGTGCGTACTGCTCATTTTATATTGAGATTGTTAAGATCCACCTGCAAACCCGCTACATGTGTAGCACTACACACTCCTCTCTGGCACATGCTGCGCTACCCTCTACGCTACCAGCTTTATGTGGGACCGCACACTTAAGATGAGTTTTAATACGCCAAAAATTCATTTATGCTGTCGTCTATACACGACGCCCGACCACATAACACTGCCAAAACTCGGCCTTGCAGGAAATTTATCCGAAGAAGCCTCCGTCCCAAAAGGGTTCAGCTAAAACTTTAATACACATTTTTTGCATCTCATATTTTAGAAGCCGATGTTAATACTGCCACTCCAAGTTTAAGTAACGCGGCAGCAACATGGGCTGGATGGGCTGTAACGGCTGTTACAGCTAAGTTTTACCGAAGCCAGTCGGACACGGTTAAATCAATGAACACTTTCGCGAGCAAGATGATGAACAAGCCAGGATCTTTAGGTTAAACAAAATACTGTGAAAAAAACCAACAACTTTTCTCGCGATTCTTGATTTACAGAGCAACCATCCAGTAGTAGTATATCAACCACAACTTCCAGTGTGACATCCATGACATCACTTGAACATGAGGATGGGAGTAGGGGTAACGAATCAGTGTCTGATTACGACTATGATCACTGGGGTGACAACGATAATTGGGGGGATATGGAAGTAAGTTTAAAACTTATTTTTTAAAAAGCACTATATCGCGCCTGTGCGGCGTTTTATAACAACAAAAATACATAAACGCAGTTTTTTTTGTAAACTATTTCCCTCTTATTTATTTGCAATATATTGCAAAAGTCTGTAAACCATGATTCAATATTATATCATCTATTGTCCTCTTTCATTGCGGCGCTTCGTAAATTACTGCTCAATGTTTGTCCTATTGACGGATATCATCAATTAAAATTACTAGACCCCTATTTCAAACAAAATTCAAATCCGTTTTTTACTAAAATCTATATTACTAAAACTGGTATATGCCGATGTGTGTCTAAAATTACAATTCAACCACAACCGAATTGGATAAAGGCCAAACATATTTGAAATTAATAAAGTTTGAACGCGTTCAATTATTAATTTTGGAACGTATATCTACTTAGAATTTTATAAATGTTAAGAACTGATCTTAGATATACCCTGCGGTGGAATACCACCACTACATGTTTCATACAAGAATTTTTCAGATCCGTCATACACAGGTTAGTTCACGGTCAGCAGCACATAAGCCAGACGTAACATAAATATACCAAGAAGGGAAGACTGGATAAAAGGTACACCCATAAAAGCTGAGGCAACCTGGTATACAGACGTCTTAAGAACGTCGGAAAGCGTAGGACCTAACCAACTGGAATAGTAGGGCCGACACAAGGAATATCTTTCCACGGGTAGGCCTATCTAAGTATGTCACAATTTTCTAAGGCAGCAAAGAACACATTGTTCGGTGGCCATCTTCACAGACGGCCAAGCAGCGCCAAAGCCTCGGTTCCACGGAGGCACATTCTAGAATAGTGTGGGATTGTGTGTGTGTGCTTTAAATACATTGGATGAGGTGAGGTGAGCAGGAGAGAAAAAACAGATGAAATGGACAAACAAGGCTCATCTATGCCATTCATAGGCCCAGAACCTCCAGAACCGAGGGGTTTGGGATGTTCAACCACTGTGGGAATTACATATACATTTTCTTAGCTGTCACTGGCAGTCGTCGGCATCAGTCTTAAGGCAGTCGACTATAATTATATGGTCTTCTTCGCAGTCATTGGAAGTCGCCTGGCAGTAAAATGCAATTTGAAGAAGAAATTATTCAGCCTGGCAAATGTGCGGCTCTTTGTACTAGGCAATGCCAAGTTGCTAGACTTTTTGAAATTGATAAGGCTGGAGAATGTAACATAAGGGGATCAGAAGACGACAACAATAGATCTCAAAGAATCTAATATAATAATAATAATAAATTTATTGATGGTAATATAAAGAAGTATTTGCAAAAGTCAAGAAAAAATAAAATAGGATAAATGGGCCAAACTTAATGCAAACAATAAATCCAATAATATCTACTACAATAAATATGCTAAATGTTACACTAATTAAAATAAGACACTTGATACAACATTTAATAAAAATTAAAATCGGCATTAAAAACCTTTACTACTAAAAAAATGTATAAGGACATAAGCATGTACAGTCAATCAGAATATACTCTTAAGTATAGATGCAAAAAATTACTTCACAAGTCAGATACAACACATTTATCAAACGTCACAGTTTAAAAGTTCTTCGATTGAGTTAACGCTTTTTCAATCAGGAAATTTTTAATTGGAATCTTAAATTCCATCTTGGGCGGCCGTGGCGCAGAAATTGACAGTTTGTTGAACATTCTTATTCTCCAAACGTGGGGTCTACTGTGACATCTTTTTAGTTTTCGGAAGGTAGTATTCAGGCCTTCTTTATTTCTCGTATTATAAGAGTGCACGTTACTTCTCACCGTAAAGTCCTAGATATTTTTTACATAAATTAAATTTTCAAATATTTATACAGATGGAAGTGTTAGAATTCTTAGTTCACAAAAGACATTCCATATCTGAGTTCCATATTAAGCACTAGTCTATTGGTCCTGAACCAATTCTTAATTGTAACATAAAACGATTTCCCACTGCAAGATATGGAGGTGTCGTCAACAAGGAGGGTAAATGATATATCTAGATATAACTCTAAAACGGATATTAGAAAAATAATGATGACATAACATTGAACGATCGTTGTACAGAATAAAGCCTGCCCAACGATCTAAAATGATACAACTCAATTAACCAGTTAGTTAAAATGACAGACATAAATGCTACGTTTATGTCTCCTCCCGTTGGCAGGCTTTATACAAAGGTAGTGTAATCAACTTGGAGTCACAACATGCGCAATATCTTGTGTTTAGCTGTCTCAATTCTTGTTAATTATTTATTTCAATTATTCTAATATAGCCCAGCAAATAAGGACACGAAAAGACCCAAACCTCGGCTTAATTCGTTGACCATGATTTTTTAGGCAGATTGTGTACCTTTTCGGGAGTAGTTTTATGAAAAAATGGCCCCAAATGACCAAAAAATCACTTTTTTGCAAATATCTACCAAAATATGCAATTTACAACATTTTTCTTGAAATAAAAAATGAAGCTTAAGTCATTATCTACAAAAAAAATTCTAACTCTTTTTTTCGTTAAGTCCTAGGAAAACGGTCCTAAATGGCAAGAACGTTTTTTTTGCCGAAATATGGCTTGTAGATGATTTTCATGATCGCCAAATGGAAGATTGGATCCTTAGCTAAAAATATGAGCCTCACATTTTTTTTTCGTAAAGTTGTTCGTAAAAAGTAACCAATTCGACTATTAGTAATTATGCAATTTTCTTTTGTTTACGACACTTTCGGGAAATCCCCCAAAAAGCGGAAAAAGCCACTCACGAAAAGTTGTTTTTTTATTAAAATATGATTAAACAAATTCTTCAAATTTTGAGTTGCTTAAAGAGACTCTTAAGAACAACTGTTAAAAAAAATCTTGACAAATAAGCGATTATTAGTGAACATATGAATAAGTTTGTAAATATCTGAAAATGTTTAGACCAAGGAATGTTTGTCCGTTTTTTTATGATCATAAAATATGACAAAATTCAAATAAGTTCCAAAATGTGATAGTTGTTGATTCTACCTTTTAAATGAACTTGGAATCGTCAAAAAATTTAGCCATTTTTTTTAGAGTTATTAAACAATTATTTGTTCTATCAATCAATGACACGCTTATGAAATCTATCTTCGGAGCTTTAAGGCTTGGAGAGGAAATTGAGGGATCTTCGAGGTGAAATATCTGGAAAACTCCTTTTGGGGGATTTCCCGAAAGTGCCGTAAACAAAAGAAAATTGCATAATTACTAATAGTCGAATTGGTTTCTTTTTACGAACAACTTTACGAAAAAAAAATGTGAGGCTCATATTTTTAGCTAAGGATCCAATCTTCCATTTGGCGATCATGAAAATCATCTACAAGCCATATTTCGGCAAAAAAACGTTCTTGCCATTTAGGACCGTTTTCCTAGGACTTAACGAAAAAAAGAGTTAGAATTTTTTTTAGATAATTATCTAAGCTTTATTTTTTATTCCAATAAAAACTTTGTAAACTGCATATTTTGGCAGATATATGCGAAATACTGATTTTCGGCCAAAGCCAGCCAAGCACGGTGTTAATTTTTGTCCCCTAATTTTTTTCCCTTAAAACTACTCCCCAAAAGGTACATAATCCGCCTGAAAAATCCTGGTCGACGAATAAAGCCGTGATTTCCTTAAATTAAAAGTTAAAACCGTCATTTACTATACTAATGTTGATTATTAAAGAATTGTTATTATAATAGACAGGGGGGCAAATGGCTAGCAGCAGTGGTAGTGGGGGCATAACAGGTACTCAAAGCGATCCCACAAGTCCTCCATCGGGTTCGGGCGGTGTGAAAGTGACCGACGGTTGGGATAACGAAGAATGGGGAAGTTTGGAGGAAGAGCCAGAAGCTGAACTCACGTCTCCGTCAAGCGCTTGGAGTCCCACGGACATCACTCCAATAATTCCTCTAAAACCAGAAATTAACAAGTCAGCCATTACCAACCGAAAAACACAGTCCACCTGGGACGAGACTGAATTCGAACCTATAGATGAAAATTCAAGTACAAGTATTTTCAATTAATCTTTAACAAATCTACAGAATAACCTAACTGTACAGAAGCGACACGGGTAATATTTCGTGAACCAAATTGACGTGAGTTTATTTGTCACATTTTTAGCCTATAAAGTCCCGTTCTCAAAACTACTTTCTGTCGCTGGCGACATTGGTTGACACTTCAAAGAAACAATGATGGTGGATTTATACTTCGAGTATTAGTCCTAACCTTACCCTTAACATTAACCCTAAGAAATTAACCTTGAGAACTTAATGAAATGCCGTTCATACTTCTCCTACTTAAGAAAATAATATTCTCGTAAGCGCTTTTGCTCATGTAAAACGTGTTTTGAACTAACCTAAATTCACAATTATTTTTAAAATTTCTAATACTAGAGAAACTAATTTTTACATTAATAATTTCTAGACCAAAAAATACATTGTTTATTAACATTTTATAAACCGTCAAATGCCACATGTCGATATTATTTCGAGAATTCTTAAAACCCCTAGTTTTGAGCATGCGCGATTCCGTTTTGAATTAGCATTAGCCCTAAGAATATAAAATTTACCAACCTGTTAGGATTAAGGCTAATGTTATGATCGATACAACAGAAGCATGAACGATATCGTTCGTTAACGTTGATTCATATTCTTGGGATTAGGACTTAGGAGAGCTAAGATCGGAAGCATGAACCCACCCTGAGAGCTGTGTTAAATTTAAAATTGACAGCTGTTTGAATTTTGTACAAATCTCATTGGTTCTTATCGCTGGCGCCAATCAACACTACAAACTGAGAACGGGGCTTAATTTTAACGACGTGGGTTGTCAAATTTTGATTAGTTGATTGTTAATAATATGGATGAACGTGTAAAAAGCCGTATGGTAAAAAAATTTTATGAAGAGTAGAAAAAAAACAAAACTTCTTTTAAAACGCCGTTAGCTGTTAATAACTATTGTAAACATTTAATTTATTTCGTATATTTGATTGTTTCATTGTTATTATTTTATTTGTGTTTTGTGTAGGGATCAAAATTTATGCTGAAATAATTGAAAGTATTGTTTGGGAAACAAGAGAAATACCATTCCTCCCTCTTTATTTTTTTACTTTTTTTACCTATATTTTACATCAAAACGTAATAAAACGCCAAGAAACAGACTTTATTTTAAATTGTATTTTTTTGAATTTGTATTTACTGAATTTAGTAAGAAATTTAAAACGCCACAACAAAAATAACGGCTATACAGGGTGAGTCTTAAATAAGTGCAAATACTTTTAGGGGTAGTATATCTCGACACATCTACAAGCGATACTAAGTAAAAAAAATAAATTTTAGTTGCGTTATCGAGAGCGCGATTATTAAATTCATTGTTGCCAACCATGGACATATTCGGCTGATTCGGCACCGGGCTGACTAACTGGAATTTAAATTTCCTGCTAGGGATTCAGGTGGTAGCTCTGCTGTAAAAAATGTCAAGTTGTCACATTTATTTATTTATTTCCTGACATTGTTATTCATTTTCACTTTAGTTTTGTATTACGAGTTTTTGGTTTTAAAGGATTGTAATTGATATTTTAAGCTCAACAGTTTTTACTAGCAGACCTTGCAGTCGAAAATTATTCATTTTAGAACCGCGTTTAGTGTGAAGTGTATAAGAAGCCGAAGCAGCTTGACAGCCATAGTAAAAAACACATCGCAACCTTATTAGAATGTTTTCAACGGGAAAGCGGTAGTAATGACCCTTTAAGTCCGTTAAGTGCTGTTAAGTAGGTGAGTTTTGTTGATGTAAATAATAACTGTTTATATACTTATAATTAATTCATTTTTGTTTCCTAAAATATTTTGACTAAAAGAAAATATGTAAAAGTCGGCAATGCTGTGCCGGCAAAACTTATTCACGTGACTAAAAGTTTATTTGGCATGATCTAGATGAGGTTTTTTCCCGAAATTTTTTTTGAAAATTTGGAATTTGTTGAAATATTTTTTAATTTTTAGTTAAAAAACATAACGCAAATGGAACGTAAAGAGAAATTATGTTTCTTTTATCGAGATCTATCAGCCCTGAAAATATTGCATTTTGCACTTATTAAGACTCTCGCATATAAACAAATAATTTTAATGTGACTTCGAGGATTATTAGTCGTTTTAGGGTATATTTCAAAGGAGCCGACGCTGACTCTCGCCAAAGATAATTCTACTACGAACACGTGTTAACTATAATATTCTTTCCTCTCGCTTCTGTATAGATAAGGTATTCTGTGATAAAGACTCCATGGTGAAAATTTCTTACTTCAGGTAATCAAAAGTTAGAAGAAGCGAAAAGAAAACGGGAAGAGAAGAAAATACTTCGACAGAAGGAACTGGAATCCCGTCGAGCTAATAGAACTGTGGGTGGTCCTATGAAACTAGGAGCGAAAAAAATGTAAAATCTGATGTAAAGAAGTTTGTAATTACTCAGCTTCGCCGGTAAAAATGATTTACGATATTATTCATTTGTAAATAATAATGGGAAAATGATAAAAGTTATTCAAGACCGGGGTATACATTAGAGAAAAATCAAATAATCTATAAAAAATATGCAGGGTTTTTGTGAAGAATGATGCAAAATGTAACTGTACCACTAATCATAGACTACTATGACAGACATATTGGATTGTAGTAAGATTAAAATATATTAAATATACAATCTAATATCTTTTTAAGTCTTCTAGATGTTCAAAACATTTATTTATATATAAAAAAGTTAACTGCAAAAAAAATCCTTAACTGCAAAACAGTCATTTTTTTTTAATTTAAAATTACAGACGTAATATGCTGATATTCTTATTATAATTAAATAAATGTTGATAAATTACTTTATATAAGCTTAAAGTGTTATACTGAATGTACTATAAATGTTTTTGTCTTCTTTAATCATCTCTTTCAGAAGAAATTTTAGACTGTAAGCCTAATAAATTTTATTTTTTACAGTTTATATCTATTTATACTTAGATTCGTTTTAAATAAAACTTTTACGTTAAAAGTATCGGTTTATTAATTTTTGAGTTACCATTCGCTGTTCTAAACATATTATGAAAAAAAATAAAAAGTTAATTTTTGTAAAATGCTACTGGTTTAGAAACCAAACGAGAATGAGCTTATCAAAAAAGTAAGTATTAAAAATGGGTACATCTATCCTTTTTCGAGAACACTTAAATAAAAGCCCTTTTAAACGAAATTAATCAGCCACAAAGGTATAGCATGAACAAGCATAGTTCAACCTTACGTCATATGTTGTTTTACGTTCGTAATGTGGGATAAAATAAATTGTGAATGGTTAGTTGGTAAAGTACCACACTTTTGTTGTTTGATATTGATCTATTCAATATAAAAATAATAAATCTTCAGTACTGTTAAAATTCGTTGTTGCCAAAATTATGGAGGGCATAAAAAAGGAGACTTATCGGCAATTGGCATATTTGAAACTTCTGTCCCTACTTTTGTGCAGGTTTTTCGGTTTAACTACCCCTGCAGAAACTCTATAAAAGTAGGGACAAATATGCCAATTGCGGATAAGTCTCCTACCAACAGTCACCACTGCAGACCGCTTTTTGATTGTTATAGTATATTGTTTATGTGCGTTTTTGCTAAAATGTATTGCAATTTCATTGAATTTTAATCATAACAATGAGCGTTGTGAAAAAAAATTATAAATGTAGTTGCTTCATACCAGGCTGTAGAGAGGTGTATTTTGCTGAAAAGACAGCGAAGAAAGACCAGGGTGAAAGAATCCAAATCCTTTAGAAAGCTCCTAATGGTAAGTATGACTATTTAATAAAATATAGATAGATGTTAACAAAAATACATTGAAGTTTATAATATATTCGATATCAATTAAATTTGTAGTTACGTAATCGAGTGCGCGATTTGTAAATTCATTGTTGCCAACTATGGACATATTCGGCGCCGGGCTAACTAACTGAAATTTAAATTTCCTGCTGGGGATTCAAATGGTAGCCCTGCTGTAAAAATGTCAAGTTGCCACTATTTATGTCCTGACTCCTGACATTGTCATTCGTTTTGACACTTTAGTTTTGTATTACAAGTTTTTGGTTTAAATGAATTTTGTTGTGATACTTTAAACTTAAAAATTTTTACTAGCAGACCTTGCAGTCAAACATTGTTATTTTTAGAACCTCTTCTAGCGCGAAGTGGTACAAGATTAGAGCCGTAAAAAACTCATTGCAACTTTATTAGAATATTTTAAACGGGAAAGCAGTAGGAATGGCCCTATATGTCCCTTAAGTGCTGTTAAGAAGGTGAGTTTTGTTGGTTTAAATAATACTGTCTATATATTTATAATTAATTGATTTTCGATTCTTAAAATATTTTGATTAAAAGAAAATATGTAAAAGTGGGCAACGCTGTGTCGGTCAAGCTTAATCACGTGACTAAAAGTTTATTTGATATGAACTATACTATCAGTATACAGATTACATTAATAATCATATTAATAGAGAATATAGGATATAGCCTTGTTTATAAAATAAAAATTATTTAATACCTACCTTCTAGCTGCTAAAATTATCTGTTGGGGTGTATTATTATAACCACAATTTGAACAATGTCTTCGAAAGCATCTTCGCCTCTTAAGAAATGATTCTTGAATTACCCAGCTACTTCGAATCGTGAGAAATAATTTTATTTACTAATTATACATTTTTTACTAGGATTCTAGCTTGCTACAGCCAGTTAATATTCGGTGCTACAGCAACGACAAAGAATTGTTTAGAGACAAATGTTGCAAGTTAGAACCTTATAATTTGAATGAATACTGGAACATGAAGTTTGCTGATGATCGATGTAACTAGAACATCATCTCCAGCTTATTTAATAATTTCCAATTATTCCTCCCTTACATATTTAGATACTCTCTAAAACCTAAATCTGGTAAAAATGTGCAGAAATATAAACTTAAATCTATAATTAATAACAAACTAGTTATCCTAACAATAAGAAGCCATTTCTGAACAAAGTAGGAACACCTGCGCCTCCAAGCGGCGAATTTGGAACTTCATTTTCTTCATGAAATGGGTCTAAGATCGATATATATCGAATGGATTCTTTCTAAGCTATCCGTAAGGCGGGTTAACACTGTACAAGAGTACTTGTATAGTATTTCTGAAGTCAATTGGAAGTACTGAGACTCTTAATTCCCTTGTCCGGACGACGCCGACAAAGACAGTGCCGAAATTAAGAGTCCCAATCTATTCCAAGTGACTTCAGATAAACTATACTGTATCAACCGGGCGTTTAGTAACAAACAATAGTAACAAAAACCATTGATTTACTTTCAAACAGTATTATTTATATTCAATAGATATATTCATCATAAAGCAAAAGCTGTACATTAAAAAAATACTGTCTAATACACTATGAACTTCTTAACGATACTATACAGATTTAATGTTTTTTTTAGATCTTACGATATAACGCGAACTCCTTAAAAGCTAATTATTGAATGTACTCCCACGTAATAGATTTATTAGACCTATTTTCTTTTAAAAGTCCATTTGAAACATTTAAAGCAACGACGTTTCTAATGACCATTTTACAGCTTCTCAGATATTGTTAAAAATACGAGTTTTTTCACATAAATTAATACTCAAAATATACATCGAATTAAAAAAGATATATAAAAAATAAAATTTTCAACACTGCTTTTTTATTAAGACAATATACTATAAATGTACTAAAGTGCCATATGTGTAATTTAGTTTAGAATCTGTAACACACCATCCTATGAAACTATTTTTATACTATTGATAGTACTTATTTTCCAGTTAAGTTACAGATCAATGTAAGCTATTATAATAGAAACTATTTTGTTTAAATATTAACTTGAAAAATTATGTATCCTATAAAACCGACCTATTCTTTCAGATTTGTTCAAAGAGAAAGTTATTGAGCCAAAAATTATCGAAATATGTCTTCTGTCTGTAAATAATCATAAAAATTCGAGTTAATTAATTTAGGTTAATTTAAAATTCCACATCAGAACAGTTATTTCTTTCGAACTTTTAAGTTTTAAAGAAGATTAGAACTTTATTAGTCTAGAGAAGCATATTTGACTTTATTCTAGTGATACACCTATCAGTTACAACTAACCCTTAACCTACTTTTGATTAAAAATATCTCATGTACACTGTTAGTAGTAAGACTCTTTTTGGCTCAATATGAAATAAACCGCAATATAATTAGCCAATATTATTTATGTATATAAAAATAATATCGATATAAAAAGAATAAAAAAATATTTTTTTGTTGAGCTATGACCACTTCTTCCCCTAAACAACGATTTTTTATGATAAAACTGCTTTTAAATCTAGAGAGATATTAAATTTGTACTCGGCAACATTGTTAGTTGAACAGCGACTTCCAGAAAAAATTTAATATTTTTTTTAAACAGTACAGTAGAACATTTAATATATAATATTTTATGATAAAGTTTCCTTCTTATTCAGTATTAACTGATTTTTGTTAAGTATTTTCAGGGTCATTGTTAAATGTTATGGAATCATGGATATATTTTTTTAAATCTTAACAAACGTTTATTCCCAAATACCTGTATAACTCCAATGAAAAAGTCAAAGTAAAATACCGTAGTGGTATTATTTTTATTCAACGGTCGCGAAGAATTCCGGCAGAAGAACCTTACCCTAACCTAGCTTACGTATAAAAAACGAATCTCAAATTTCATTAGGCACTATCAAAGAATATACGGTTAAATTGATGGATCTAAGTAACACGTTATAACAAAATTAATCTTTTCAAATACAAACAACAACAAAAACATTTGCATCAAAAAGAACTTTTTTATATTACTGAGATATCAAAATAATGTAACGCTAGTCTATAGTCTATCCACCAAAAAATATGACAGTGTCATATAATTTTTTTATGACAGCTGTTATATATTTTCTGAACTATTTTTTATTCTCAAAATTTAGAGTATTTTCTACAAATGTCAGAATGACAGGTCGCCACATAATTCAAGATTATTTTTGGGTTATTTGACTGGGTATCATTTATTTCACATTATTTATCTTATTTATCTATCTTTTCTACAGAGCGTTTCAAAAATATGCGGAAAACTTTAAGGGGTGACTCCTTAAAATAAACAGTTAAAAATAAGGGGCACAGTCTGTCTAACGAAAAGACACATGACAGTGACGGTTGTGTCTGACTCGTTAAACAGACGTCACTTTGTTATGGATAACATTAGGCACATTCAGTAAACACACGGTTACTCCACCGGTGCAGAAAATTTAAAGTGCATGCCAATGGTAACTCACCGGTTGTGGTCACCGATCACTTGAGAGCCTAACGTATTTTGTTTCCGGTTTATTTACGTACCGGTAATTTAATCGTTCAATGAAAAGTTATCGGTAGGTCTTTACCGGTTAATACCAGTGTGTTTACTGAATGCGCCCATTGGGTCAAATACATTAGGGAGATACTGCAGTACAAAAAAGGCGGAAAAATATTTTTCCCTCTTATCCTAAAATCGAAAAGCAATAGAATAATTAAATTTTATGTGAGCGTTACTACTATGAAAATACCCTATCTGCATATTTATTCAGACATTATATTGTAAATATCTAATTAAAAAACATGTTTTAAGCTAATTTATATGTATTAATGCACAAATTGAAAAAAAAAACCGTTCTTTAAAATATTAATATGCACATAGTAAAAAATGTCTATACCTCTATAGTGACAGATTCATCTCTTCAAAAAAGTCCTGTGGGTATTTCGCCACTTGTACTTACTTATTTATGCAGATAGTGTGCTATCATAATACCGTAATATCTCTCTAATTGTTGTCTTTTGACTCAACATTTTTATATAAGAAACCTTTTATTTTTACCCCTATGTTTCTCGCACTTGTTTTGGAACACCCTGTATATTATCCCCATAATATTAAGGCACAATTTGAGAAGAATTGTGTAAAACGGTTCGGAAAAATTTGTGAAAGATATTTGATGTATATTGAGCAATTTGAACTTATTTATTTACATAATAAAAAAAAAACTAGAAGTGTCAAAAATGCACAAAAAATAAACAAAACATACAAGAATTTAGCTTTCAAGAATTCTGTCCGTTATCATTATATTATGACATGTCAAGATTATTTTATTGTTATGTGAGACTCTGAATTTATAATTTATTTCAATATATAATATATCAATAGTCCAATAATATATCAATAAGACCTTTAATTTGTTGTGATCATATAATCCCACTTTTTACACGTTTAAAGAGAACTTATTTTTAATTTACCAGTAAGACAGGTTGTTGTAAGATTCCTTTTTGGCTATTTGAGATGTTTAATTGATAATTTATGCCACTTTTTTTAATATCTCAATAATAATAACTTTAAAATTGCCGTGAATGATTTCCCAGTCACTGTCTAAAAAAGCGACCAAAGAGTAAAATACACTTACGCGTTTAGCGACACGATCGAACCGTATATCGTTTCTAAGCTCGGAACTGGCGACAACGACCGTCGAATAAGAGGGCTATAACAGAATTTTTTGGTGATCATAATTGGCACTAAGCTCGCTAAAATTAATGTATGACTAGCACTTGTTGACGTCCGGCGGGGTGGCGAGGTACTCGTCAGCCCTCTTGTGGTCGTTCAGGGCTTTGATGGTACACTGGTCCTGAGGCAGTTCCGATTTGCGACGTACCAAAGGTTTGGTACTGTTGCGATGCTTTTTGACCTGCAAATTAAAAACGTCTAATTAACCATTCAATATACAGGGCCCGGAAATAGCGCGTTGGTCATCTATTATACAGGATACCTTCTCTATTACAGAAGCGACCATAAATTACAAAGAGTATACCAAGATCCTGTTTTAAATTTCTTTTAAAAAAGCTCTCTTAAATTTTTATGTAAAATACAGTTAAAAAATGTAGAAAATAAAGAGGAAGAAATGGAATTTCTCTTCCCAACCTATAGTTTCAGTTATTTTGGTGTAAATTTAGATTACTACACAAAAAAATTATCAATAAAAAAAAAAAAATATAAGAAAATAAATTAAATTTTTAATAGTCATCATTGTTGAACTGAAAACAGCGTTTTAAAGGAGTTTTACTAGTTCGAAAACAGCTTTTTAAAGGAGTTTTACTAGTTCGAAAAAGTGTTTTTACTACCATCTGACAACTAACGCCACATTATAATCTAAAAATATGATACTCACTTAAAATTTGGCCCACGAAAAAATCGCTTATGTCGCTTCTATATGGTAATTCTATGTTGAAGTCTTAAATATCCATAAAATCTTAACTTACCTCTAGCGCCTCTTGTTCCAAATTGTCTAGATTAACGTCATCTTCGACTTCGGGACTGGTGATCACATTGTTGCAATCTCCTATGTTCTTCTGCCTGATAACGTCGTACTCCGACTGGCACATAGCGAGAGATTCAACGCGACCCCACAGTTCTAATCTCTGATTTTGTCGTTCTTTTTCTCTGTAAAAAAAAACATTCTTAGTAGTATACAGTTTTTCTAGTCTGTGATAAAACATGTAACAAAAATACTAAGATTATTAAGAAATTTAAACCAATCAATTATGAAATTCATTTAGACTTGTATTAACTAATGTTGCTTTCTGTCATTTCCGCATATATTTACTACGCGTCAAAAATAATTAGGTCTATATTATATATACAGGGTGTCCCAATATTAAGTGGACATAGAACTACTGCGTATTTTTGGAAACCAAATAAGTTCATTGGACATAATTTGCCTCTATACAAAAGTGCTTCACTTGATCGCTAGAGGGCATCAAACTGAAAAAAAAGTTTAATTAAAAGAAGGACCATTTACATTTACGAAAAAAATCAATGGTCGGTTGAGTTGAGACATTTATACTAAAATGTATGTAGGGGTGGGGGTAGTTTTCACCCTTCCCGTAATTTTTGTAAAGTCAAATGTTAAACACTTAGCAAAATATAGACACCCAAAATGTCATTCAAATCGGAATAACAGTTCTTAAAATATCCGAAAAAATGTGACTTTTTTAAAGTCTAATGCCCTTTAACGAACAAACGAAGCACTTTTCTATAGAGGTAAATTGTATCCAATGAACTTATTTTGATTTCAAAAATACCGGGTTAGGTTTCTGGTTTAGTGAACCTTGAAAGTCAGTCTTGGGCCGGTACAAGCCTATATATTTTGGGAACTTGAAAATTTCGGCCCATACAGGTCTCTATTTCTTGTTATTATGCTCATTCCTTGGTATTTTTATTTCATTTCAATGTGACAAAAAACAGTATAAAAATCAACAGGGCTTATTTGTTTACCTTTGACGTTCCTGTCGATATTGTTGACTGCATTCGTCGAATAATTTCTGATTCATTTCCATAAAAAGTTTCAAAGCATTGTAAATCAAACCGTGAATCGTTTTGTTCCAGTGAGTTTTCGAGTTCTTGTACAAGCTGGGGAACATTAAAGGCAGTATTTCCGTGGCATTCTCTGCCACCAACGACATCACATATTCGTTATTCCAGTAATATAAAGCCCTCTCGGCGACTTGGAAGTGTGGAGAACTAACGCACTTGGCTAGCTGACGAAACAATGGTACCATAATCTGAAATTTATAATAAATTATTAATATACATCCAGAAATATTAAAACAGGCATACTTTTTGAAATTCAACAGCTTCGATCACGTCCAAAATCTCCTCAAGTTCGTTCAAGAACATAACCTCTTTGGGGCTGTGAGTTTTGGGCCAATACTTTAATAAACTCCTTATAACAGGTTCAGTTAGCGATGGGTCTTTCTCTAAAAACTGGACTACGCAATAGGCCAATTGAGGGTGATATACAGATAGAGATTTAACTTTGTGAAGGGGCATTAAGACGCGCAACAAAAACACTTTATGTTCTTCTTTAAGGGGCAGGGCAAAACCGTTGATTATCGACCCTAAAATTTCTAATAGTTCAGCTATGCCGTTATGGTGTTCCGTCTCATAAATAAACCTGAAAATGTAGAGTTTTAATACTAAACTGCCGAAAACATCAGCCTCACAGTTGGCCTTTGAAACGACAATATGTAATTTCCCTACGTTTAACCCCATTTATAAAAAAATCAAATAAAATACTGTGAAAAATTAATATTAGTTCAAAAACGGAAAAAAGGAAAAATGTTCAGACACAAAAAAATTATTCACTAAACACCTTTGTATTGAATTATTGCTGTTATGGCTTTATTGAATTGGGGTTGCCAAGTATATAAAAGTCGATTGATAGAAATTATTATCGATTGTCATTTCAAAGGTCAATTTTTATTATTGAGTTAATTCTTGTTCTTAGAACTACGTTGTGTCGACACAACGTAGATGTGAGAACTAGGCTTGATAACAAAAAGAATGACATGTCATGCGACAACTTCCAGGGCGGCAAATTACAAAAATACATTTACATATTGAAAACAGGTGACAAAATATCCAAAAAAAGTCAAAGAATTCGAGTTCGTACTAATGACATAAGACAAAGTGAAATTAATTTTATAAAAGTCTAAAGAAGTAATTTTATTTTGCTGTCCCACAATAAATTGTAGGAAACTAAAAATGTTCTAAAAGTTCTCAAACTATCGATTTTGTTACAATGACCAAATTAGATTATTCTTCGAGGTGACTATTGGCCTGATCCACTGCGACTTTTTCAGAATTATTGTTCTGGCTGTCGCACAGACGTAAAATGTGTTCTATCGTTTCTTCCTCAGATTGACAGAATCTGCGGATGGGTTAGTCTGTCAATCCTATTAGCTTTAGACGCCTATTCAGCTTACAATGCCCTGTTAGTAGACCCACCATAACTTTGACTCCAATGATACATAGAAAATAAACATTTAAACTCACAATTGAAATAACTTTATAAGACTTTTTATAATTTAAATACTTCGATTGGTTAGAAAATTCCGTAGCTTCTAAGTTTATTGCATTTTCATGCCTCTATCAGATAATATACGAATCGTTTGTGATTGGCCAAAAACATTTGACAATGATAATTCACAATAAAATTTCAATTGTCATTTTTTGATTTCATTTTCATGACGGTTTTCGTGAACTTACCGATACATTTTTTACAACTCTCTAAAATGTCAAATTATCAAATGTAAAGAGAATTTCCCACTTACACCATACGATAAATGCCCCAAATTTGTCAACACAAACTAATTTTAGATTAAATTTGTTAAAAAAGTGCCAAAACATTCGTTGACTGACAGGGGTTAAACATTTTTAGATGAACAGTGGCGAAAACACTATGACCAATCAGTTCGTCGTGGGATAATTATTGTATCACCTTAACTCCACTTTATACACATGTAAAGATTTTTCTAATTTGCCGCATATGTGATTATTGGTTATTGGACATTCTGAAGTAATTTCGCCGCCGTAAATTTTTGGCAAAAACTCTACAATAAAAACTTCTCCGTTTGTTGCAAATTTTATCGTACACCCATTATATGATCTAAGAATAGAACTTACCTATAGAATACGTTGTTAATTTGCTTCCTGATAAACGCTCTCAAACCTAGAAACTTTCCGTATATCCGATGCAGGGTCGTTTTCAAGAGATCCCTTTCGCGAGGGTCTTCGGAATCGAACAGATCTAGAAGTTGAAGTACAAACTTTTGATCGATGTACCGTTTGGCTATGTTGGCTTGGAAGTCCGGGGCTTCTAAGACGCGTAAGAACAGCTCGTAGACGAGTTGTAGGTGGGGCCAGGCGGCTTCCAGAGTGGGCTCGTCTTCTTCAGGATCAAATTCCGCTCCGTTGGGGTTGGACGAGGGCGGTAACGTTCGAAAAAGGTTCACGGCAAACTAAGGACCAGAAATATTCTTTGTATTGGAATCTGGGAGGTTGCAATAGAAAATTACACATTTTTATCATACAGCTTATTCAAAAACTAGTTGGATATTAGTGATAATTTGGTGTTACATTGTGTGTTTTCGCGAGTGCAGTAAAAACGCACCGGGCGATAACACTCTACTTTTAAGTACTACAAATAAACTGTTACATTGTGCATTTTTACCACATCCCGTTCAAAGGCAAGCACCTTTGGCGGGATCTGCAAAAACGCATAATGTAACACCCGCCCTGTCAGATATTTTAATCACATAGAGTGATTAAAATTTATAAAAATTCGAATGGCACTGATCAACTGGGAGTCAAGTCAGCCATACTGAAACTCTTTCGCGGTTTTGCCATGTTTCTTAATATACTTCTTCAACCAGAATTTTTATTCAATGACAAATAGATTGACAAATGTATCTAATATCTGACAAACGGATCTGAAGCAGCGAAAGGAATGGGGGCAAAATCGATGTGGTCAAGTTTAACTATACAAATATACAAAACAATTAATTCAAACTCACGATCAAACACTTAACGAATATATTTTCCAATTATACAAACAATTTACACTAATGAAATATAACCACAACTAACTATTTGAAAAACCTTCGCCAATTTGCCACAATTCGCTATTCTAAAACTCTATTTAAAAACTAAACTATATAAACATAATATATTGTAGTGGATCTTCTGGTAATTACTATTCCGGAACACCCTAGAATTATTTTTGTGTCCAGAAAGTTCTTCACAACATGCGGGATTTTCCACTAATGTCTAAGAGAGATATTTAATTAATTACCTGATTTTCTTCATTCTGCCTATTATAACTGGTAAATTATCCTAAAGATATCATCTACTACGGGCAAGTCAGCAACGCTGAGAAAATTCATCATGGCTTTCCGTATTCAACTGTTTTTAACTTTCAGTACTGCAATCAGTGCCACCAACATTAATGGTGGACATTTTTACCGATTCCATACCAAGCGGTAGCCATGCGCATCACTTTTTTTCCTATTAGTTAGCGCTACCCCCAATTTTATACCTCTCCCCTTAAAATATGGAAATATTGACTGGTGTTGACATATCCAGTAGAGGTGTTATTATACTGTATTTAATCCCTTTAACTTGATTTGTGCATATAGATATGAAAACACTTAAACGAATTTATTCTTTAACTATAATAAAAAAAAAATTATATAACACACCAATAATTAAAATAATGATTTGTCGAATTTCTGGAAACTTCCCAATCATTCCTATTACTACTGGAAATATCTTTGAATAAGAAGACTAAGGAAGGAGTATAATGCTATCCATGTATTCATGCATGGTGGACGGAAAAGCCACCATAAAAGCTCTCTAGGGTGGGGATCCTTGACAGTTCTGTTTGACGATTCATTTGACACATTTGAATTTGATTTGAAATTTTGTGGATTTGTCAGTCTTTACGGAGCTTATTTTATGTTATTTATTATTTATTCTACTACTGATAGTTGTATAAAGGTAGTAAATCTAGATGGAAATTGTGGCAGAACTTAAATTAACAGCGACACTATCGCGATTTATCGAAAAGACTCTAAAATAGTTGGTTGTGTAGCGTGCGGTAGATCTCGGCAAAAATTGAGTGAAATAATGGAACAACTTTTCGCTAGTAAGTGACTATATAATATACATACGTGTAGTAAACCGATCATTTATGAAATTCACTTAAATTAACTAAATTATATATTTTTCTTGCATTTTTAGCTTTTATTTATTACTGTCAAAGATTAGATGTCAAAGAATTTAGATACGTTAATTTGACTTACCTGCTTCAGTAGCGTATCGGATGTTTGTGTTAATAAATACTTATTATAACTTATCTATTTTTATTAGAATTATATATTTTTATAACAATTTTAATAACTACCAACATTTATTCACAACGTAAAATAAAACAACAAATTATTGAGTCTACCCCACGTCTACCCTACATCATAGTTTTACATTTTTTAAATAAAATTAGAACGACACTGATAAACCGGAATTTAAGTCGGCCATATTTGAGGCCCATCGCGGTGTACCTAAGATTTTTGATATGCTCCTTCCTTAGTCTTCTTATTCAAAGGGAAATATCTATAATTATGTCCGAGGTTTTCCATCCCGTCCAAGAGATGGCGCGCAATTCGAAACTCGGAAGGTAATAAAGAAATCGCCGTCGTTCTTTTCTCATTCCATCGAAAGATGTCGCCATGCTGTTTGACAATATTATTGTTATAGTACACGATTTCTTATTCATTAAAAAATATAGAGATGATATTACTATAATAAAGTAAAATAATATAAAGTTTACTGGAAAATATTATAGAAACTCTTGATATATTTTCATAAAACACCGCACGCCCCTGGATGTTTTATGAATGAAATCGGCCATTTAAAAAAACGTTGTTTCAGATTCATTTGTCAGACCGGGTTTTGAATAAGCTAGAAGCTAGTAAATACAGTGTCTAACTATAAGTAATATACCATATTAACGGCTTCGGGGTACACATTTTCGGTAATGACGCCCTTATTTTGGGTCACAAACTCCACCATCTCGGTTAAAGCTGTCCGTTTTATTTCTTTCCATTTTAGGTCTGACAAGGGGTCCGAGGCAAAATCGAAGAGAACACAACACTGTCTCAATTTTTGGATGAATAGATCCTCGCGTTCAGATGAAACAGCATCTAAATCATTAAAATGTAAGAAAATTTTGTGCTTTGTTAGCGGACAGGGAAATAAAAAAGGTTAAAACTATAAACAAAACTAATTCAGCTATCTGTATGATAAACATTTATAAGAATAATAATAGACTCAATAGACTATTATTTCTGTACCTTTTAGCAGTGGCAATTGTTTAATAGGAGCAGGTCTTTCCGCACTTGCAGTTCTTAATCCTGTGATTGTAATGATAGTACGATCAAAACCGTTCATTGATGATTCGGATGTCGACACTAGATCGGTTCCATTAAAGCCTTAAATAAAGCCCAAATGTAGAAACAAATTTTTCTATACCGAGTGCGTCTCAAAAGTGGCTCACCCCCTATAACTTTTTTAATTTTTCAGATAAAAAACGAGATTGGGTATGTTAGTATATGACATAAATTAGGATTGATTGACGTATTCAATCGTTTTTGACCACTTCCTGTTTCATCGGAAATGACTACAACTTTTGATTTTTAAATGACACCTTTGGTATTTTGTTACTTTATTCGATAGAAAATGACACTCTGAATTGAATGACATAATCTACAACTTTTGACATTATCGCATATGGTTTATTTGAAATTGTAACATGCGGTTCATAACGACGTTGACTCGAAATACCAAGTGTGTGGTACCCAATTATTCGTAAAAAATGCTTGTTCCAAATATGCTAATGAGCCACCCTTGTTTCTTTTGAAAAAATTGAGATATTAGGTTTAAAAATACGATTTGGGCATCTTTTAACCGGCCAGGACAAGATACGAAAAACAACGACGATCAAATCTATTTTTTCCAAGGCTCCTTGATTAAAAATTAGTGTTTTTAACACGTGCGTTAAAACACAAAATTAGTGTTTTAAAGCTATGGCACTCTTGATTGAAATTTAAAATACGATTTTTTTAAGGGAATTTGTCAAAAGTTGCAATATGATATGTCATTCTATTCAAAGTATCATTTTCTATTGAATAAAAAATAAGTAAATCAATAAATCAAATCGAATAAAAATAATATAAAAATAATAATTTTGCTATAAGCAAAAATATAATGTGGGGGCCATTTAAAAATTAAAAGTTGTCATTATTTTCGGTGAAACAGGAAATAATGACCAATAACAACTGAATGCGTCAATCAATCCTAATTTATGTCATATATTAACATACCAAAAGTCGTTTTCTTATCTGAAAAAATAAAAAAGTTATAGGTGTGAGCCACTTTTGAGAGGCACCCGGCATAGCACCTAATATGAAAAAACGCGTAATAAGGCTAATTAATATTGCACAATAATGTTATAAAACATTATAATATAGGGCTGTCTCTTAATCAAGTCCTAATATTTTTATATTTTAGAGGTAGTGGATTTGGAGAAAAGAAACAGATTTACTATTAACTATTTTTAAATAAATTGAAAATATCCCTAGTAATTTCGAAATTTAAAAAAATAATTCTTACATTGCATGGCCTTGACATGCACACAACATTGCATGGCCTTGACACACTAGCAAGAAATTTTAGGAGAATGAACCTGCGGCTCTTAATTTTTTTTTAGATTTTTTTCACCAAAAAGAAACACTTACTGGTGTGTTTCTGAGGTCGAAATAAACTACCAGTTTCAGTAAAAGTTCTTATTTACGAGACACCCTGTATAATATTAGATTATTTTTAGCAATGAACGAACCATAAAAATCCTTTGTGGTTAAGGAGTTCTGATCGAATCCTGGCGAGTCTGCCATGTTTTGTAGATCGTCTAAAGTTTGAGCTCGTAGCGAATCTACACTGGCAGAAGCTACTAACAAGTCGAGGCCGCTATGGAAAGATGGCGACTTTGGTATACCACCTACTGATTCCCTGGATGACTGATTGTAAGGATAGGGTTGCCAGCCCTTTAAATATAAAGGAAGACATTTCAAAATTCGCTCTATACTTCATTTCATGCGATCGAAGACAAAGTCATAGTAAGTGATGAAATAACATTTCAATTTAAACTTCACTAAGTCAGTGTTGAGATTTATCACAATGATATCTGATCGTAAATTATTTAAAGTGTGTCAGATTCCAACCTTACATACCCCTTCTTAGTCACACAGAAAGCGACTAGTGCGTTTTTGATCTGTAAAGCGTTTAAGCCATCTTTTGCGACCAGAAACAAAATAATACAAATATATACGTGTGACCCGATCAAAAACGTGTGGCGTTTGGCGCTTTTGGTCGGGCTACTGGTTTGTATTCTCTCTCCCCCCCCCCTCTCTCTCTCTCTCTCTCGATACATATCAAACTTTTTGAGGGCACGATTTTTAAATTCATTGTTGCCAACCATATATTCGGCGCCGGGTTGACTAACAGAAGACCTTTATGATTATTTTTATTAAAAACCGGAATTATTATGGGATTCACTTCTATAACTTTTTTAATTTTTTAGATAAAAAACGAGATTTGGTATGTTAGTATAGGACATAAATCAGGATTGATCGACGTTTTCATTTATTTTCGGTCACTACTTATTTCACCGGAAATGACAACAACTTTTGATTTAAAAGGTACCCTCGGTATTTTTTTACCCTATATGATAGAAAATGACATTCTAAATAGAATGATATATTATATGTCAACTTTTGCCATTTTCAATTAAAAAATGGCCATAAATAAAAGTAACGACAATTTTACTCTAAATACCAAGTATGTGGTACCAAATTATTCGTAAAAAATGCTTTTTCCAAATATGCTGAGCCAGCCTCGTACCATTTGAAGAATTTGAGTTATCATTAAAAATACGATTTGGGCATCTTTTAAGCGGCCATGAAAGGATCCGAAAAAAATTACACGATCAAATATATGTTTCCAAAGTTCTTTGATTACAAATTAATAGTTTTAACTTATTGTTAATCTAAGGTTTTAACTCAGTCTCTTGGCACTCTAGATTGAAATTTAAAATGCTATTTTTATTTAATTTGAAATGTCTAAAATTGACGTATGGTATGTCATTCTATTCAGAATGTCATTTTCTATCAAATAAAGTAAAAAAATACTAAGGATACAATCTAAAAATCCAAAGTTGTAGTCATTTCCGGTGAAACAGGAAGCAACCAAAGGTAATTGAATACGCCAATCAATCCCGATTTATGTCATATACTAACAAACCAAATTTCGTTGTATTTTCTGAAAAAATATAAAAGTAAAAAAGGTGAGTCCCTTTTGAGAAACACCTGGTAGAATCGGCCGAAAATGAATACCGGTCTTAATAATACACTATAACAAATAATCTACCAAAAGACCCCTGTGACCCTCCGCCTACTAAATATTGATTCTTCAACGACAAAAGTTCTTAAACTATTTACCGGTTAATTTATTTAATAAAATGTTTGCACTGTAGTTTTCTGAGCTTTGCATCAATTTTGTTTTGCTACAGAGTTTCTTTTTTATTATTTCAACTCACATTAAGGCGGGTACTCGAAAAAACAGCGACTACCTAAACGCATCCTAGACCTATAAAGTAAACTGGTTGTGGCATTCTTCCCCGCACCTCAGTTCTCGGGACCGATGCGATGGGCTGTGCCGTCGTTTACGACCTGCTGCTACGAGTATATAGTGTTAATTATATATGTTCGCGAACGTTTTGTTCGCTTAGCTTGGACGCGGCTTTAGAATATCAGACAGACATAGGTAAGCTTAAAGTAAAATATCATTCACTATGCTTACTGTGACGTAGTTTGGTCATATGTTTGAATTAATAGATTGACTATATTGGTTGATTTATTAAAGGTAATGTAAGGTTAGTTATATACCTGCTGGTAAGTAACTGACGAATGTACCATAGTGTTCAGGAAGGCATAGCGCTGAAAAGCTGCTGTTTCGTGTATATTCCAGCGACGATGGCGGTTGTATGCAGAGGGAGGAGTGTTACAATTCGGCCTTGTGATACGATGGAAAGGGGACGGTATGTCAAAAGACTGATCCACCACACTGATATGTATAAGTTGTCTGCTCTGTTTGAGAATACTCAAAAATTGTTTGCGTTACAAGTCTCTCAATAAATTGCGGTAAATTTGGTAATTTAGAACCTTCTTTCTGCTTCTGGTATAATAAAATAAAAGATTAGGCAATATACGGGGTGTAGGCATACAAAAAATCAACTTCTTTAAAGTTCGAAAAAATTACTCATCTGTTGAAAATTGAAAAAATATACAATTTCAAGCAAAATATTTTGAGAAAATTTGTTAAAACGCTATACAAATTAATAATATTAATTAGTATATAATATTTGAAATTAGACTAAAAAGAAAAAGTATACTGTACCTATATACAAGGTGTCCCAATATTCTGTGGACATAGAACTATTACGTATTCGTATCGCTTCAGCCGCATGCGACTGTGGAACAAACAGGCAGCCCATCAAACATATAGTGCAAGACTGTCCAATAAGAACATAATATATATACCGGGTGCGTCTCAAAAGTGGCTCTATAACATTTTTATTTTTTCAGTTAAAAAACGAGATTTGGTATGTTAGTATATGACATAAATTAGGATTGATTGACGTATTCAATTGTTTTCGGTCACTTCCTGTTTCACCGGAAATTACCACAACTTTTGATTTTTAAATGGCACAATCGGTAATTTTTTACTTTTTTTGATAGAAAATAACACTCTGAATAGAAAGACATGTCATATGACAACTTTTGATATTTTCGCATATGGTTTATTTGCAGGGTTGAAAAAAATCATGATTTTTTTAAAAAAATCAAAAAAATCAGATTTTTTTTATTTAAATCAGATTTTTTTATTTAAATCAGATTTTTTTATTTAAATCAGATTTTTTTGATTTTAATTCAAAACAATATTTAAATCGGATTTCCAAGTGACTAGGACTTGCTTCCAATTAAAGTCCTATCCTAAATGGCTAAATATATACCCCGATACCGATAACATTAACAATTCTACGAGGTGTATGATTTTTCCACATCGGTCGGATTTTTTTAAACGTCTCAAAAGTATATTAATTTTTGTCATTTTAACGCCTAGGCATAAAAGTAAAGCACTGTTACGCCTAAGCACAAAAGTACAAAAATATTATATTATAAAACTGATATTAAGTGTCAAATTCAACGAGTGTACAAATTGTTGCTCGATTACTGTTTATATTATTTGCAATGTTTGAAATTGATTAAAAAATTATTTGTAATGTTTAAAAAAAATAGTATGTTTTATTCGGAGTAAAAATGTACTTTTGTGCCTCCCTGTAACGTCGGAATAGCTTTACTATGGTCCTTCAAAGGTACATCATTGTCAAAAAAAGTATAATTTTTACTCCTAATAAAACAATACACTATTCTTCGGAAATATTCTTAAGTCGAGAATCAAATTAGTATGTATTATCTAATGTCAAAGTGTAAAGTACTTACTGCAGATCAAAATGTCGGTAGGAATTTGGAAACATACAACCGTTTCAAAAAAGAATATAAGACAACATATTTTCTGACAACGATTATAGATTCCCGGGAATGAGGATATAGTCTCTATATTAGAAGAACCCACAGTTCTGCACTAGACTTTGTGAATGATATGTATTCGAACAGCAAATATTTGTTACTTATACATAAATTTTAAAATAAATCCTTGCGTTTAGCGGTCTAATTGATTCACACGAAATTAGTTCAAAAATCGGTCTAACAATTAAATTGATGAATAGATATTTTTATGTAGTTTTATACCGTTTACAATTATTTTTGGATTTATTTTCTGTTATATCTGTTATAGAAATATTTTTTATAGTTTTCTATGACACATTTTTATAACTTTTACAGTTATTTTTTGATTTATTATAAAGTTTCAATAAATATTTTTTTTTGATTTAAATCACATGATTAAAATTAAAAAAAATCACTTGATTTAAATCATTTAATTTAAATCATACCAACCCTGTTTATTTGACATTATAACTTGCGGTTCGTAACGAAAATTTGACTCGAAATACCAAGTGTGTGGTATCAAATTGTTCGTAAATAAATGCTTTTTCTAAATATGCTAATGACCCACCCAATTATTAATTAAACTATTCAGAATGTCATTTTCTATCGAATAAAGTAAAAAAATACCGAGGGTGTCATTTAAAAATCAAAAATTGTAGTCATTTTCGGTAAAACAGGAAGTGACTAATAACAACTGAATACGCCAATCAATCCTAATTTATGTCATATACTAACATACCAAATCTCGTTTTTTTATCTGAAAAAATAAAAAAGTTATAGGGCTGAGCCACTTTTGAGACGCACCCGGTATATGGGCTACTCAGGAGGCAATTGATTTTAATGATTGATTTTTTTTTTGGCGGATCAGCCTATTTTTTTTGTTGTGTATGTGATTTTACAACTTTTATATATATATATATATATATATATATATATATATATATATATATATATATATATATATATATATATATATATATATATATATATATATATATACCATATATATATATATATATACACATTTTTATTGTTGTTTTACCATTCTATGTCCTATAACTTAATATACTATGATGTAAGCCATACGCTAAATAAATAATACCTATTTTTTGAATCAAAATAAGTTAATTGTTCATAATTTACCTTTATACAAAAGTACTTCGTTTGTCCGTTAGAGGGCATCAATAAAAAATAACCCCGAACGTTAACTACATAATTTAAGATTTACTAATTTTAAACATTTTATGAAGTTTATTGTCAAATATAACTTGTGATACTAACATAAAATTCCATATCATCGCCAACTGGATTATTAGCTTCATGTGTCAAAAAACATTTTTTAGAAATCAGCCGGAAAAATACTTTTTTTTCCTGAAAAAGTATGCGCGGTGTCGTTTTTTTTTACAAGAGACAAAAAATATAGTAAATAATAGAAGGACCATTTTACGAGAAAAGAATCGGTCGTCGCGCGTCGGTTGAGTTGGAAAATATTTATACTAAAATTTATGAAAGGGTGGGGGTAGTTTCCGCCCTTCCCGTACTTTTTCTTAATTTTTGTGGAAGACAAGTGTTAAAGCACTTAGCAAAATATAGACACCTAAAATCTCATTCAAATTGGAATAACGGTTCTAAAAAAATCTGAAAAAATGTGTTTATTTTTTTAAAGTTTGAGGCCCTCTAGCGGACAAACGAAGCACTTTTGTATAGAGGTAAATTGTGTCCAGTGAACTTATTTTGATTCCCAAAATACGTAATAGTTCTATGTCTACGGAATATTGGGACACCCTGTATAATTATGTAATAGGAATACATATAATAATCCATATTTCATTAAACGAACATTTTACAGAAAAAAAACATCCATTGTCTACAAATTATTACTAAGTATAAATCTTTAATATCAAATTATTGAATAATCTAAATAAAAATAAACATTCTCTTTAAAAACCAATGATAATGTCTACTATTATCAAATAATTTTTTAGTAAACCAATTGTCGAATTTAAAAAATTATTGAAATATTTTAAAATATAGCCAAATGCGTAAAATCAATCAAGCAGAGTTAAAAACTTTTATTTTTCTATAAATAACGATAACTTTTGACTAAGAAATCAATACTGGAGACATTGACAATAAGTATAATAGCTTAGAATATCTAATATTTGAGTGTATAGAAACTATTGTATATTAGAACAGAAAAAAATTAAAAAAAAGATATTAATCACATCACATCACTAACCTTATAGTTGCTCGAGTATATTCAAAAAATACAATTTGCAATATTTATAACAAATATTTGGGCCTTCAACACCCACCATATACGACTTCCACTAATATATATTCCATAATACAAGTACTGTAAATATATAAACAATTTTTAAGCGTTGTTTTATATATCTCCTTAAAATGTTTTATTTATTTTATTAGAAAACAGTCACAGACAACACATATACACCGATCACTAGACTTATTATTCTTTGAAAAAATAACAAAAATTGACCCGCACAAATATCAAAGTGACCCTGTGATATTTCGGAAGAAAATGACATAGAAGGGGAAGGGATAATACGTATAGGTGGAAATTTTAGTATTTTTTTTCGTCCAAAAAAGATACAGTATCGCGATGTTTAATAAACACTTCGTACCACTTTGTGGAATATTTATAAATGTAATATTAAACCAGGAAATATATCTAGGCTGCGATGTTCTTGTTCAAATACAATTGTCATATGACAAACTGCATATAATATAAAATAAAAATAGGGTATAAATCTATATACTCGCGAATAATTTCACTTAAATTTGTTAAATTGCGGGAGAATTTGACAACGCGACAAATTTAAATGGGCATTTCGTCCCCTTGATCTACTGAAATCCGACCGAAAACCCCATTACGCGGAAAGGGTAACCGAGAAGAGGGTTTTATAGATTATTACCCTCTCGCCGTGTTGCCAGATCGCTAGGCCGGTTTCAAATCAATGACGCGAATAGAGACCATTTAGAAAATCTGTTTTTTTAAGAAATTCTTTTTTTTTTCTTCGCATATGGAGACGTTTGATTAATTTTACGACGAAGTGATTAATTTGTATCTCGTTTTAATTCTACACTATCTTTATTTTTAGCGCTTTTCTTGTCATAATTATTTTTGGTGTTTGTAAAGCTACTCATAATTCTTATAACGTAACTTCTTCTAAAGCAATTATTTTTGAGGAGAAACTGCGCGCGCTGGGATTAAAAATTCAATGACATGACACGCGAGACGACACGCGACACGACAGGCGAGAGGAAAAGTGGTAAGGACAGCCTACGGCTAAAAATCGTCCGATTCGAATAAAATTTGGTATGTCGATAGACTGGACCAAGGCCAACTTGACCGTGTACGACACGTGTCACTGTGATAGTTAGTTTCGACGTAAGAAACGTCAAAAGTTGATGTCGTCCGATCGCGACCAAATTTGGTGAGTAGGCTATGTGAGCGACGGTACTCTCACTGTCTCACCCTGTAAAGTTGAATACGAAGTTTCGTTCGGATCTTCATCATGGTGGAACTAAGGGTTTGATAATGAAGAAAAATATGGGTCGATTTCGGTATAATTAGGGACGGACTACAGGATGAAGCCCTCGACGTTTCGATCCGATGCACAGTGTGGCATGTAATGGACAAAATTCAAACCAAACGCAATTTTAAACTATGCAATATGAGAATTTCTATAACATGTTTGGATACAATATTGGTCACTATATAACGTAAGTATAATAGCAAATCGTAGTTGGCTATGCTTTTGTTTCTCTGCGCACATAAACTTTGACATGTCAAGATTTGTCAAATTTTAAGCTAATAAACGCAATTATTTACCTGTCCAATTAATTGTGTTTATAATTAACCTAATATTACTTTTTGCACTAAGTCCAGTTAAGGATTCATAACGGTTTAAAGTTTCCTGTTCATGTTTTTTTGTTATGTTTAGCATTTCCGACGGCTTAAAGTTTAAAAAAATCACTCGTGATCACCTATTGTACATTTTTATCAGTTGTTCATAAACTAATGGTGTTGTCACAGACAAATTTTCAATCACCATGGGTTACCATTAACGGAGTTATGATTTTTTTTAGAGAGAGGTGTCATAGTCCAAAATAAGGACTTGGTAGAAGCTTGGTTAACAAGTCCAAAAGGAAATCGAAAGCAGCTCGTATACGAAAAAATATTGAACCTCATTAATGTATATGAATCTTCCAAGCAGTTGCAAGATGAACTTCAGAAATATAGTATTAATATATATTATAATTAATATATATTATACAATTAATATATATTATACTATTAATGGTTAAAGAAGGTAAAATGCCAATTTTACCTGAATAGCTTGACAGCAGTTGAATTTAGGTATAGCATATTATACATGAAATGTGCCTAAAATTTTGCGTACATTCCAAATAATATGAAGAATTATACAGGGTGTTCCATCAGAAAAACACAGCTTTGCTCTGGTACAGATTTTTGAAATACCCTGTATGAATGAAACTATTTTTAGATTATGCAACCTAATTACTGTACAATTTTTTAAGCGATTTTTCTCTCTATCGCTAGTAGTTTGGGTTAGTTATTAAAATATCAACCGATAACGCACTATAGTGACACTCTATATATATTTGCTCATTGCACACCTACTCAGTATTCCTGTATTTTTTTAGTCTAAACTATAAGTAATAAAACAGCGTTTGCAGAATTGAAATTGGTTCACTCATTTTTGAGATATCTAATTTTGTCCTTAACTCATATACCACGCCACACTTTGCGATGCCTCTAAATGGAGGAAATCATCAGGATTGTTCTCTTAATTATGGATCTATTGGAACTAAACTCGGCACGTAGATAGAGGTACCCGAATGGAGTCCTCAGACGGACACACGGTCATTTTAATAAACATTTTGTGAAAGTGAATCAAATTATTTATTAATTTTTAATTTATTACTTTTTCGACATTTCAAACTACACTTTTTCAACATGTCCTTCAAATCCTTCAAATTAATAGTTGTTAGTGAGAAGTTTCACTTCAAATATGGGCACATAGTGCACACACAATTTTTTTAATAAAATTAAGTTGGAGTAAGTAAAAACAGAGCCAAAATAAATGCTTAGTTAGAAGTTACTTAATAGAAAAAAATATAACTTCTATTAATGTTTAAAATTTAAATAGAAAAATACATCTAAACTATCTTTTTTTAGGTTTAGGTGTTCAAGTTGTGTCTAAATGAAGTTAGCCTACTATTAAATTAAAAACTGACAACGTTGCAATCTAATTTAGTTGGCAGAGGCGCAAGCGCCACCTGTTGGCATTTAGACGATATATGCGCTTAAAAACACCAATCAGAAAAATCGCAAGTGGAGTGAGTAGAGGATATAAATCAGTGGAGTAGGTAGGTAATCAAATTACCGTAAAATAAAATAAATGCTTAAAGCATACATTTTTCTTATTTTATAATTTTTATTACATAATAAATCTGCAAAAACTAGCCTAACTAGGCTAATTTCTTAATACCGCATACGCCAGTGATGTTTCTTCCGTATTTGTATTGCCCTAACTAGCTAAATCTCACGACAAATCCGCGACTGGCAATATTACATAAAAAAAGCAGAAGGGATTTATAAAGGGGCGAAATCTTATATGGCAATGTTTGGGATAAGAATTGTCCGTCTCCGACAAATATGGTAGTGTGTGCGTTTTTATTTCCAAGTAAATGTATAGTAGTGAGGATTCTTAAATTATTTTACTCTTGATGACTCGTTTTAATTTTTTTTTATTATTTATTGAAATTGGTACATTATTCTTTTAATGTAGATTTGATGTAGATGCATCACTACTTTTATAATTGTTATTGCTATTCATTGAAGAAAATCTGTTTTGATATGTAATAAAAGATTAAAAAGAAAAAATAAATATTAATTTCAAACGAAAAATTAAAATTATTTTTGTTGATTTGATTTTCCTTATTTGCTTGCTTGTTTCTGCTTTTAGTTAGTTTATTTATTATTAGTGTTTTATTAATCTTAAACTGTTTTATTAACTTGCATTAATTTAAATCAGATAACAATTGTTGTATTCTAGAAAAATACAGGTGATTGTTAACGCATGTTCATTGTTTTATAAACTGTCTAAAACATTGTAGTTATATGTATTTAACAGTTATATAAATAAAATAAATTGCAAGAGGTGTTTGATAAATTTACTTATGAGACGAATTATCTAGTATAAACTGTAAAGATATGTGAATGTTGGGATTTTGCGATTGTGTTAATATATTGTGCTAAATTGCCCTGCTAAAAATTGCTTCAATGGTAATGCTTTATTAATGGGATTCTTTTTAAATTTATATTGTAGTTCTCTCTGATAGAGTATAGATGGCGCTGCCAAAAATTTTGACCTAATCTTATGTATGACACTGTATGACAGATTTAAGGCAGATAAAGGTAAAATTGCTGTATTTGTAAATAAAAGAATTTTAGGATTCAAGCTTGGTATGCAGTAAGTTATAGGCAGATGTCCTGGTTTTATTTTCTTAGTTGTTGGTTTTTGCCTTTACTGATAAATGTTATAAAATTCCCAAGTACTTGTGTTGGCTCATTTTTTCGTAGAATAAAGATTTGTTCAAAGCAGTCTGTTTAGTTTGATATATGTTGGTTTAAAGTTATGAGTAGTTGTAATTAATAATGCAAATAATCAATCATCTTGACCGTGAAACTCAGTTGAGGGGCATATGGATGATAGAGGCAGGTGGGAATATAAGGGACGTGGCAGCCGCAGTAAACTCAATCTAACCTAATCATTGATCGTCTGTGGTAACGTTATAGGGAGGCCGGTGAAATGACGGAAAGACCCTAGAAGGGTAACTGAGCTTGTGCACAACAGATTCGTCCCGATTCAAGCACTTAGGAACCCAAATCTTACAGCTACTCAAATAATAAGTGAACTGCTAAATGTTCACCAAGTAAATGTCAGTGCCCAAACTGTTAGGAACAGATTGTATGCAGATACATTGCATGCCCGTCGTCCCGTTAGAGCTCCTGTGTTGACACGTCGAAATCGCGGGAGGAGATTAGAATAGGCCGAAGATCATGTTAATTGGAAGAACAAGAGTGGGCTCGTGTGCTCTTCACTGATGAATTCAGATTTGGTTTGAGACTAGATTCCAGAAGAATAAGGGTATGGAGAGGGCCAGGAAACGTTGCTCTTCTGGAAACTTTCCATGAGGTGGATGGGTACCATGGCAGAAGAATTATGAATTGGGCTGGAGTGGGTATTGGCCGACAGATAGATTTGACGAGGGATTCTAACGGCTGTTGCTTATCGTGACACAATTCTTTAACTGAATGTTCTTCCTCGGGCAGTGCAAATCGGGGAACAATTTATTCTAATGCAGGATAATGCACGCCGCATGTTGCGAGAACTGTGGGACTATTTTTGAATCACCACAATATTACTCTATTGCCTGCCCAATCTCCTGATTTATATCCTATAGAGCATGTATGGGATATGTTGCAAAGACGGTGTTATGAATCGTGCAATGGTGTTCCAAACCAGAGCGAAGCTGGAAAATTGTTTAAGAGAAGAGTGGCAACAAACTGAAGAAAACGAGATAGAGAATTTAATTAGAAGTATATCTCTCCGACGTACGTATATGCCTCTCCGACGTATACATT